TCGTTGTTCCGGCGGTCGTCCCGGTGGCGCGACCCGCGATGTGTTCCACTGCAGGAATCGGAACAGCGGATGAGGGATTGTTCATATTTATCAATTGATCATTGTTATTCAGGGCAATAGGCGGTGGCGGGACAGTTCCATTGGTCATATCGATAGCGGAGGGCAATCCCCAACGACTTCGCCTAGACTGCTCCATTTCCAACTATCCTGACCCAGATCAGGCAGACCACGTCGCCAGGTAAAGAGAGCTGTCAACTTATCTGAAAGTCTGCTGTAGCACCGAACGGGTGCTACGGAGCTCTTGACAGAGCCTTCGGCAAAGGGCAGGGACCGCCGAAGGAACCGGCGGCTCGGAACCTGCATGTCACGCCATATGACGTGCTAACAGACATAAGAAATGCGGATGGATCACTGTGGGTTAAAAGATGATGATCAATACAATAAGAGCTCTCCTTAAAGCTCCGGCTTGACTTGGCTGGCTCACTCCAGCTTCGTTAACTTGATTAGCGCGATCGTAGTTGGCGAGGACGGGCTGGGAACGGATCCCTAGAGCCTAGAGGTAGGAGCACTAAGGGCGGACCTTATGGAATGCTGTGTGTACACTCTCTGTCTATCCTGCTCTGATGCGCGTGTCGAGGTAGGGTAGGATCGCAATCTTGTTACACCAAAACAGTCCTATCAACCCTCCTATAATTATATTATCTTCAATAATATAATGGTCTATACGCTCACGAAGAGTTGCTTCGAGAGCCAAACGACAAATGTTTGGCCTCTTCGCACTCGCATTTATGGCGAAGTACCGACTGATCCACGCCGGGCCTTATCACACCCGGCCCTACCCTGGATGCGTAACGCTCATCCGACTAACGACAGATGAACGACAACCTAACATCCTCAAATCACAACGGAAAGCGCCTTATACGCTAGTCAGGCAACACCCAAAGTCTCAATTAAATCAATACGCGGTTCGCCTAACTACCTTCGGTTGGCTTAGCCACCTGCGGATAGCGACTAACTCGGTCGTGGCACGTAATTTGTGCGCTCCAGATGTTTTGGCGTGACAGCTGTCACGCCATATGACGTGCTAACAGACATAAGAAATGCGGATGGATCACTCCCCCCCCCAGCTCATGCGCGGATTGCGCTAGGTGAGCTGGCGGTAGACCACTCAAAAAGGCACTAAAGTAACT